GTGTATGGTTTACAATCTGCACATGAATGCAGGTGTGTGGTTTACAATCTACACATGAATACAGGTGTGTGGTTTACAATCTACACATGAATACAGGTGTGTGGTTTACAATCTACACATGAATACAGGTGTGTGATTTACAATCTACACATGAATACAGGTGTGTGGTTTACAATCTACACATGAATACAGGTGTGTGGTTTACAATCTACACATGAATACAGGTGTGTGGTTTACAATCTACACATGAATACAGATGTGTGATTTACAATCTACACATGAATACAGGTGTGTGGTTTACAATCCATGCATGAATACAGGTGTGTGGTTTACAATCTACACATGAATACAGGTGTGTGGTTTACAATCCATGCATGAATACAGGTGTGTGGTTTACAATCTACACATGAATACAGGTGTGTGGTTTACAATTTACACATGAATACAGGTGTGTGGTTTACAATCTACACACAAAAATAGGTGTGTGGTTTACAATTTACACATGAATACAGGTGTGTGGTTTACAATCTACACATGAATACAGATGTGTGGTTTACAATCTACACATGAATACAGGTGTGTGGTTTACAATCCATGCATGAATACAGGTGTGTGGTTTACAATCTACACATGAATACAGGTGTGTGGTTTACAATTTACACATGAATACAGGTGTGTGGTTTACAATCTACACACAAAAATAGGTGTGTGGTTTACAATCCACACATGAATACAGATGTGTGGTTTACAATCCACACATGAATACAGATGTGTGGTTTACAATCTGCACATGAATGCAGGTGTGTGATTTACAATCTACACATGAATACAGGTGTGTGGTTTACAATCTACACATGAATACAGGTGTGTGGTTTACAATCTACACACAAAAATAAGTGTGTGGTTTACAATCCACACATGAATACAGGTGTGTGGTTTGCAATCTACATATGAATACAGATGTGTGGTTTACAATCTACACATGAATACAGGTGTGTGGTTTACAATCTACACACAAAAATAGGTGTGTGGTTTACAATCCACACATGAATACAGATGTGTGGTTTACAATCCACACATGAATACAGATGTGTGGTTTACAATCTACACATGAATACAGATGTGTGGTTTACAATCTACACATGAATACAGATGTGTGGTTTACAATCTACACATGAATACAGATGTGTGGTTTACAATCTACACATGAATACAGATGTGTAGTTTACAATCTACACATGAATACAGATGTGTGGTTTACAATCCACACATGAATACAGGTGTGTGGTTTACAATCCACACATGAATACAGGTGTGTGGTTTACAATCCACACATGAATACAGATGTGTGGTTTACAATCTACACACGAATACAGATGTGTGGTTTACAATCTACACATGAATACAGGTGTGTGGTTTACAATCCACACATGAATATAGGTGTGTGGTTTACAATCTACACATGAATACAGATGTGTGGTTTACAATCTACACATGAATACAGATGTGTGGTTTACAATCTACACATGAATACAGGTGTGTGGTTTACAATCCATGCATGAATACAGGTGTGTGGTTTACAATCTACACATGAATACAGGTGTGTGGTTTACAATTTACACATGAATACAGGTGTGTGGTTTACAATCCACGCATGAATATAGGTGTGTGGTTTACAATCTACACATGAATACAGGTGTGTGGTTTACAATCCACGCATGAATAGATGTGTGGTTTACAATCTACATATGAATACAGATGTGTGGTTTACAATCCACGCATGAATATAGGTGCGTGGTTTACAATCCACGCATGAATACAGGTGTGTGGTTTACAATCTACACATGAATACAGATGTGTGGTTTACAATCTACACATGAATACAGGTGTGTGGTTTACAATCCACGCATGAATACAGGTGTGTGGTTTACAATCTACACATGAATACAGATGTGTGGTTTACAATCTACACATGAATACAGGTGTGTGGTTTACAATCTATGTATGACTACAGGTGTGTGGTTTTCAATTTACACATGAAAACAGGTGTGTGGTTTTCAATCTACACATGAATACAGGTGTGTGGTTCACAATCCACACCCGATTTATGGGCGTGTGGTTTACAATTCACACAAGATTTATAGGCGTGTGGTTTGCAATCTACACATGAAAACAGGCATGTTGTTTACAATCCACACATGATTATGGGCGTGTGGTTTACAATTCACACAAAAATACCATGGCTGGATACCGCTCTTAAAATTGAAGATTTGTTCAGGAATATTATAAGTATTAAATTTCCAATTAAAACCAAGTAAACAATTTATTTCACTCAACATGGACCCCATATAAAAATGGAAATGTGCACGTCTAATAGATGAGTGAACTATTCTTGAGAGAACATTTAAGATAAAAAAGCTTTATTAAATTTTATATTTATTTTTATAACCCAGAATTTAATAACACTGAAAAAAAGTTAAAAACTTACCCTGGCTTTAAGTAACATTTTTCACCCTATGTCACATGCAAATTTAAATACAAGCTGTTACCATAGTAACCAAGGATAACAAGCTTTCTAAACTGACAAATTTTTGCCATTATTGTAGTATTGTACCCAGGCTTCAAGATTCAATTCTGTACATTGTCATTTGTGAAATTGTAAAATTCATTTTTATTATCAAAAAATTAGAATATATATAATAAAGCTACATAATAGAAATTAATATTTGGTCTATTTCATCAAATTTGTTCAACATATCATGCATTTTGAAAAGTAGTTATTGGAAATCGCTTCAATTTTGTCACAGTCCAGGAATCTGTATCAGTGACTATCGATATCACAAAATGTTGGTTTCTGCACTCACAGTAACTACCACAAAATGTTGGTTCCTCGTCATAAAATTAAACAGTTCAATCAATACCCACAATTTTAAGTAATAAATTAGTATCCACTAAAAATTATATCAACTGTACATTGAGTATGTAAATTGAAGAGAACATGATACTGTGGAATACTTTATTTTCGCTGGATTTAATTTTCGCTGAAAAGGCTTTTTAGGCATTTTGTATGGAATTTATTTTCACTGATTTTTGATGAGTTTAATGTGAAATATAGGAAAAAAAGTATATTCGCTGGATTTTATTTTCACGGAATCATCCCTTCAGCGAAAATAGCGAAAATAAAGTATTCTACAGTAGTATATGATAAGCTGCAGTGCAAATCACCAAAAGGTCTGTACAAATAAAAACAATTTATAGGTAATATATCCTTTTAATTTTTCAATATTATCTTTTTTTCCCAATTTGTATGGTAACCTAATATGCATCTGTTATTGTCTACTTCGTATATATGTAAAAAAAATTTCAAAATTAAAAAAGAAATTCATTCACAATACACATTGCTGGCAGGTTGTAAGGTTGCTATTGTTTTATTGTCGCCGTGGTGATACCAGTATTTTTAAATCTGAACATCATGTTTTTTACAAAATGCCTCTATGTTCTTCACAAGTTCCTGGTTCCTTTCTTCAGCTTGTATTTTGGATTTTGTCTGGAAAAAAAATTATACATCAATGAACCCTTTGTGCATTTGTCATCACAAAATCAAATCCGCATGCAAAAAAAAAATCACATTTATTTCAAAATTTTGACTAGGACTTGTAAGCAATTACCCCAGACCATTCGTCCCGGTGTTATCGCGATAACACCGGGACGAATGGTCTGGGGTAGTAAGCAATTGGAAATTCTATCAGTTGGTCCAATATAGCCAATAATATGTAGAAAAATATCTAACAGTGAATTGTTGCACCAAAATCTTAGCGGGGAAAACAGATTGTACTTTAAAGGGTTAAATGTAACCTATTTATTCCTCTTCTGAGCAGCAATACATATTTTATGCTTGTCGTGATGACGTCACTTCATAATATAATATATTTCACAAAACAAATTTTCCTTTCAGAGAAAATTGTGAAATATTGTAGCAGTAAAGATTTCACCGGGGTCCTAAAAACATGGAGTCACATTGACTGTGCAGAATTTGGTTCAAACAAACCTCTGAAACATTTCTTAAGATGAAAATAGCAGTCACTAATTGTTGTTCTATTGTGAGTGTAGGAAAGCCCATGTGAACCACCATTGATAGAAAATAATCGATATTGTATGTACTGATACACTAGTCCGAAAACTAGGATTTTTTTTATAATTTGACAAGATGGCCGAATGGTGGCCATTTGTTTTTCTAGATAGGATTGAATATTTCCAACTGGCAGTCATTTTGTTTTAACAAAAGAAGTTCCAGAGTCATACATAATGACATGCTTTGACGGATTCACATTCAAACCTCGCATACACATCATATCATACATAAGCACATGCATTTGTTTCAAGGTCCAATTTAAGATGGTCAAATGGCGTCATTTTTGTTAAAAACTATACAAGATCAGCATAATTTATGGATGAGAGTACAATTGGCACAAGATGGCAATAAATAGGGCACATACTACAGAAACCTGTGTCAAGCACCACCAGACAATCCATGACATGGAACGCTCAGGCTCAAAGAATAAGAACGCCCAAATACCAAAAAATACTACCGGAGCAAGATAGAGAATGAAGCCCAAAACCGAAAACTCTGGGGAAAACTTCAACTTGGCCAGGAGGTGTGACAGGCATTAAAAACTAGCGAGGATCTTGTCATTTACAATTACTTGTTTTTTGAAGTACTGTCTTTATGGTCCTTGCTTGCTTCAAATTTATTTTTAGAGTGCTGCCCTCACTTTCCTGACTGTAATGTAATGCAATGCAAGAATACTGCCCTCACTGGCCATAAACTCCATTTGTGTAATACTGCCCTCACTGTCTAAGATCACCTTTAAAGCTAATCCCAATGTTCAAGCTAGCTACGAATTTATTTTCTGCAAGAAATAGACATGTAAATTTACTTTTTTCAAGCATCTTTGATTCCTAACATGACAACCTACCTCATTCTTCAATTTTATCTCTAAAACATCATATCTCTGATTTAAAAACAAAATTTTAGACTCATATTCTTCACGTTGTTTGAGTAATTCTGTTTTTAAAGCCTCCACTTGCATTTTCAGAGTTGAGAAAGACAACGTCATATCGGGAGCAGCATTAGGAACCTCATCAACTTTCGGCCTCTGTGGTATTTTAGGAATTTGTCTTTGAGTAGATGATCTAGCGGGGGCCGTTGGGGCAGGTCTTGTTGGTATCGGAGGTCCCATTTTACGTGGAGACGGCACTGGTTCATCTAAATCATTTTCTTCTTTTACCGAGCATGCTGTTTCATCCAAATTAAGCAATGTGCTGTGGATGGGAATAGTCCCAGTCTTGTTAATTTCAGCTGCGACTCGCACCGAATCCTCGGATAGTTCACCCAACAGATCTCCAAGAACGGAATTTCGATTGGACAGTTTTTCATTGGCAGCTGCACTCTCAGCTGGTATTGGCATCAGAATGCTATCCGGCATTCTACCGTTTCTTGCATCATCACCTGACAGAAGATCTGGCTGTGCCATTGCAGTCAAAACTTTCACCTTTTCTGGTTCCTTGCCAAACGGAGAGAAATTAATCTGATCGTTTTTCGGAAACATTCCCTCAGAATCTTCAATCAACATATGCATAAGTTTTTGGCTCAAACTAGCATTTTCCATAATTGAATCTGTTTTATCCACTTTAGGACGGAATATATTCGGTCCAAAAACTGTAGCTAAGTTTTTCAAATCCATTTTGTTTTTATCTTTATGTATTTGTACATCATGAAGAAATTCACATAAGTATTTCAAGACGTTATAATTACACCGTGGCAGAAACGCCAACTGTCGAATTAACTCTTCTCGCCCATTTTTATAGTCTGTCGATAGCTGCCGCAATGCGACAAGTATCAGGTCGTAATTAACCCATGGTATGACAGGCTCCGGTAGATGTCGTAAATACGATTTCAATAAAGATGCAACACTGTGTACATCTGCATTCTGTTCATAGAAGTCTGGTTTCTGACCAGTGTCATAGGCTTCCTGTAGTTCTTTGACCAATGCTGACCTACCTGCTAATCTGTAATAAATTATCATAATTATTACAATTGCAATGTACTAAATAATTTCATAAAATTTATCATAAAATTTAAGAATTCTGGCTGAACACAAGACTGTGTTTATCACACCAAAATTCAACTTTGTTGATATTGTACAGTGATTGATAAGATTTCCAAGTTTGAAGATGCTCAGATAAAACTTGTTTGAATTATTGTAACCACTAGAAGAAGACTATTTCAAGTTACAATTTCACAGATATCTGGAAAAGCAAACACAGTTAATTTGTTATCCAAGTTTGAATATGATTGGGTAAGAATGACAGGGATGACATCAGCAACAAGACATTTTCCCCTCACATACCTTTCCCTTCTCCTTGCTTCGTTGAAGATTTTTTATAAATGAATAATGTGTTTGAATGCAATTTTATTTTATTCAATATGTATATTTAAAAACAAAATGGCTGCCAAAGAAATAATTTGTACGATAAGTTCACTATATTCATTCACTATACTGGCACACAAGTAGAGTATTGAATTAGATTGTCTTGTGAAACAAAATGATCTGAATATGCATACTTTTGATTGAATATCACCAATTTTCAAATGTTGACTTTTCATTTTGTATAAAATGAAAAGATTATGATACTTTGATTCTGTAAAATATCATAAGCTAAACTACCCCAGCTGCCTGTTTTCTCTGCTTCATTACCACAAGATAGACTCCAGAACGATTCTCATTCCACCCACTTTAAATTTGCATATCTCACCCTCTCGCCTTTGAACTGGTCAACCCCTAAAATCCAGAAAAAATGTATTTGAATTGAGCTGAAATGACCAAGATACTAAGTAATCAAACACATATGCTGAATGAGTTTCTGCTTTGGCAGGAAAGTTACGATTTTATGCACACAAGAACTTCCCGATTTGTGAGACTCGATTTACGATGGGACACATTGAAATTTTATTTACTTCTGGTAACTTGTGCAAATAAGGACATATGAATGGATGTAAAAAAATTACTCATTTAAAAATGTCACCAATCAATGTGCCACGTCCAATTTCATAGTGCAGATGAATCGTAGAGTCTATTTTGCGGTAGCGAAGAAAACAGACAAAGGCCAGCTGGGATAGCGCTAAACATGATTAACATATTGTAACCATGGTAATACTAACCTAAATATGCCCTCTTCTTCAAGACCCTTTTCTCTCAGAAACGTAACACACTGTTCAATTATGTTTGGTATTACCTTGGTTGATGTCACACTTTCTGTTGTTAAAATGTCAGTCAAACTTTGACCAAAAACTCCTGGAAACAGAAAAATTTGTAAGAATATTTTATGGTAGATGCAACAAGTCAATTTCATCAAAACCAAAAACAATATACTACACCATTTATTGCTTTGTACCAAAACTTAAATATAATTGATTAAAAATACTGAACTATTGAAAGTATGGGAGATGGTAAGAAATGTATAAAGTTTTATTTTTGGCAAAATTTGGTTTGAAATCTTTGACATGTGAAATAATATCTCTACTGTAATAAATATGAAACTTTTCTCGCAGTTGCATGGATTTGGCTTGAGCTTTCGGTATTTTAGATTCTGTAAGACAATCAAAGATGGACAGTATTACAAAATCTATATTTGATGCAATTTACACAAGGTTCCCTTATTTCAAACTTGTAGGATGGCTATTTTACCACTTTGTTTGAGTGAACTTTAAATATCCAACATTATGTACATTACAGTACATCATAGGTTACATAGGTGTTAAGCATGTACCCAAAGAACAAATTCAAAAAGTCAAAAATGACAAGATTTATTGTAGTGGAAAATAAACAACTTAGTCAATAAATGGCACAATACACTAGATTTCGATCAGTATAACTCACAATTGCTGCAACTTTAACATTTGATTACATAATACAAAAATCCGAATTTAGAATAATTTTTTGGAAAAAGTAGGGGAACTGACAGTGGTGAAAAATAGTAAATAGAAGTAAATCATTACCTCCTCCGAGATGCCCGTACATCACCCTTCTTATTTTACGCACCCACTCGTCTCTTTCCTGTGCACTCTGAGAACATAGTAAATATGTGTCATGTGAAGATGACATTTTATGCTGACCATCACCTGCACCAAGAAACATAAATATGTCAAACATAGTAAATATGTGTCATGTGGAGATGCCATTTTGTGCTGACTATTACCTGCAACAAGAAACATAAATGTGTCAAACATAGTAAATATATGTCATGTGAAGATGCCATTAGCTTCTGGCAAGAAACGTATTATATTTGGTCAACTTTTTATCAATTACTGTAACACACACAAAAAATACTGTTTTGTGTTACCATGGAAATATATCTACATAAACCATCCAAAATTGTCATGCAAGTTATGATCAACTTTATCAAAATGTATGAATAGGCTTTTAACACATCACCTAGGCAACTGATTCATTTGGCTATCAAGGGAGGCATTCAGCTGACAATGTGCTGGCACATTATAAATGTGACAGGTAATATTCAATGTAACCTGTTTTTGAAGACCATGATACTGTATAAGAAATTAACTCATGTACATTAAGCTTTAATCTGGGAAAAACATTGGCTCTCATGATTTAATATTTTCTTGATACTGTGACAGATTACAACATTGAATCAATTACCCAGTTCTGTGAATAAATTCATAAAATGTAATGTGATCCCATGATAGATTACTTTTAGAGTTGCATGTAATTATTCATATTTCTTTGATGTAAATGGGTTATCATTAAATATGTAAATAAATATTTCATATTTGTATAAATGTAGGGTTCTCTACACCATATACAAGAACCCCCTAGCTTCTCTATAATTTGGAGTATGGAATAAAGCTCAATTAACCTAATACTAAATAATGAATCGATGTTATCTTCTGTTATGTAAATTAGCCATTCACTTCGTTATTTTCATTGAGAGAACACTAATATGAACCATCTCTGAATGCCAAAAAGCAAGGTGAACCCCAGCCATGATGACCATGTGCGGATTTACAATTACCGGTAGTATGATATTCATGTTAATATAGAATTCATAAAATTTCAAAATTGTGTTTGAGTATGACCTGACCAATCTCTTGAACTGAACAAACATGTATTTGTTTGTGTGTGAAAAATAAGATTTCAAAAAGATATCAGCTTTGACTTTTTAGACTTTGACCTCGTCTCTGTATTCACTCAAGTACTAACACCAAACAGATGCATTACAACTCTATTGTATTTGATTCAGAATCCTAATAAGAATACAAACGCAATAAAGATTATTATTATTATAACTCTACTTCACTTACTTGTTTTTTTTTTGAGTAGTCAAT